ATAGACAGTTAATGGTAACTGCTGGGAGACAGAGATTTTTTTCCCCCAGTGGTGTAGCTGCCATAAGTTGGCCACACTCCTGTAAGTAACCCCAGTAAAACTCAATGGTTCACCAAGCGGCACTTGGTGGAATCATTTGTTTCTGCTGGTGGTGCCCTATCCAAGGTGAGTAGACATTTGTTCATGTGTCTTCAGAGGTGGAATGAAATTTCCAGACAACAAACCCCTTTGCAGAGCTCACAGTGTAGTGGCAGAAGGAAGCATATGGTACACCTAGACCATTTTAATACCAAATGATGTCAGCATAGAGGGGACACAAAGAAAGGAAGAAGAGGCTGGCATTGATGGACTCAAAGGGATCATGATGGATGTATAAGAATACATCAGGAGAAGAAGACTGGGAAGAGCTGACAGGGCAAGAGGGCCTCAAAGGAGGCAAAGGTCTGGGAGGGAGGCAGGATTGCAGAGTGAACATGAGCTTTGAAGGACAGGCTGTCCTGGGAAGAGACAGTGACTCAGGGTAAGACAGGATGGACTGAACCCTGATACTGACCCTCAGGGGGAGCATACTTCGCAAAGAAGTACCAGCCTCAGCTTGCCAGAGCTTCATCCCTCAGATGAGACCTGCCTTGTGGCCAGCTCTCCCTGCTCTTTCTATGGCCCGATACACCTCTGGGCACATTCAAGAATCAAATGTGTTAGTTCTCATGATAAGCTTGTACAGTCAGAAAGAAACTGAGGTACAGAGCAATGAAGCAATGACGTCTTCCCTGGTTCCACTAAGGTCAAGACTAAGATACAGACTCACCAGCATGGCTCTGAGTATTTAGCTACCACATGACTTTTCTTCCAGGTTCCTAAATAAATCACTCCACATTTACATGGAATGTGTCAATACTCACAGTGCTCAGGGTCTTCCTGACCTGTACCTTCAGGCTAACAAGTTGGGATGGTGAAACAGGCAGCTGAACTCTGGAGTGAGCAGAGGGTGGCAGACCCCAGGTTCTGATCCCTGGCGTCCTCTCTGGCTTCCCTGTCTTCTCTGAGGCCTCTTCATCTTGAAGACCCCCTGCCCCATCCCAGAATCTGGGGGTGGAGCATGACAGGCTTACCTGCTTCTCATTAGAGGAGTCATTCATGTTGACCCCACAGGCCAAGTCAGGCCTGGGGAAGGTTTCTGACCAACCATCCTGTGTGCAGTTTCGGAACAGGGACCCTGTGGGTGGCAAGAGTCCAATAGATGAGTAGTAGGGACCAGGCAATGGAGTTGGTACAGTAAAATTTCTAGTAACATACAACTATTACTATCATTTTAAAGGTTGGGAAGCTGAGGCACAAGGTGTGCTATAACTTACCTACATAACAAGTCAGTGGGGAAGGGGGGTTCAATCTCTGTGGCTCTTCACTTCACACCATGTACCAATACTCTTTCTTACTCCCACCCCAGCCCTGCTGATGAATGGTATGTGTATGTTCATGTATGTGTAGCTACATATGAACAAGTGTGTGTGTCTGTGTGTGTGTGTCTGTGTGTGTATTTGTGAAGGTCAAAGGTCAACCTTGGGTGTCATTCCTCAGATGCCATCCACCTTGTTATTTCGAGACAGGGTCCCTCACTGGCCTAAACTTGCCAAGTAAGCTAGGCTGACTGGTCAGCAAGCCCCAGGAACCCATTTATCTTCACATCTCCGGTGCTGAGATTATAAACATGTGCCATCATGTCTGGCTTTAAAAAAAATTATTTTCTCTCTCTCTCTCTGGGGTGTGTGTGTGTGTGTGTGTGTGTGTGTGTATGTGTGTGTGCGTTCTGTGTCTTCTGTGTGTGATGTGAGTGTTGTGTCTGTGTGCTGTGTGTGTTGTGTGTGTGCTGTGCTGTGGTGTGTATGTGTGCATGTGCTGTGTATGTGTGTTCTGTTTGTATGATGCGTGTGATGTGAGTGGTGTGTATGTATATGTGTGCTGTATGTGTTTTGTGTGTATTTGCTATGTTTTGTGTGTGATCTGTATGTATTCTGTATGTTGTGTGTGTTCTGTGTTGTGTGTGTTGGGTGTGTGTTTGATGTGTGTACATATGATAGGGGTACCAGGGGATTGAACCTAAGGCCTGGGGCATCCTAGGTGAGAGCTCTATCACTAAACTATACCTCCAATTCTTTTTTTACTTTATGTGTATGTGCGTGTTCATATATGTGTACAGATAAGTATGCATCTCTATGCACACAGATGTGGACTCTAGAGGTGGGCATCAAGTATCTTCCTTGATCATGGTCTACCTTTCTTTGTTCAAAGTCTCTCATTGAACATGGAGTTCATCTAATAAGCTAAACTGGCTGACCAGCAAGTCCCAGGGGTCCCCTCCTGCTCTGCCTTCTCAGTGCTGGGATTATAGGCATGCGCTTCTGTGCCTGGCTGGGTATTAAACTCATGTTCCCATGTTTAAGCAGTGTCATAGACAGCTTCAACTGTCAACTTGACACAAACCTAGTCACCTGGGAAGAGGAAACCTCAACTGAAGAATTACCCAGATCAGATTGGCCTGTGGCCATGTCTATGAGGCATTTTCTCAAATGCTAATTGATGTAGGAGGGCAGAGCCTATTGTGGGCCATGCTATCCGAGGCCTGAGGGCCTGGGCTCTAATAAAAAAGGTAACTGAGTAAGCCAACAAGCAGCACTCCTCCATGCTCTCTGCTTCAGTTTCTGCTTCTAGGTTCCTGCTGAGTTCCTGCCTTGGCTTCCATTAGTGGTTGGTGATTTGTTTGTTTGTTTTTGTCTTTTTGAGACAGGGTCTCCCTGTAGCCCCAGCTGTTCTGGAACTCACTATGTAGACCAGGCTGGCCTTGAACTCACAGAGATCTGCCTGCCTCTGCCTCCCAAGTGTTGGGATTAAAGGCGTGCGCCACCATGCCCAGCTTGGTTGGTGTTTTATCACAGCAACTGAGAAGCTAACTAGAACAAGCAGTCAGCTCTTCACTGACCGAGCCAGCCCCAGCCTCCACCTCTTTTGATTTTGTGACAGGGTCTCACTAAGTTGCCTAGGCAGGCCTTGAACCTGTGATCCTCCTGCCGCAGCCCCCCAAGTTGGCTGGGCTTACAGGCCTGTGGCACCAGACCCAGCTAAATGTACTTCAGCAAGGAATTCTGACACCACCAGTGCTGCTTTAAGAATCAAAGGAATGTCTCCTAGAGAGAACATATTCTAGGCCTGGCATGATAGCTATCGGGGGAAGAATGCGGCCTGTAGTTTTTCTAGTCACACTGATGGATACCCATCGTGTCTGGGCTGGTGTGGTGGATGTTGTGGGAAGGAACTAATTCAGGAATTAATTCTAGAACGTATATTTTGCTGTTGTTCAAAAGTAAACTGTCCTGAACACTGGTTGGTGTTCATGGGTGTTCCTCCCTGCACTTGGGAACCACACAGGGGAGGAGCCTTCCTCTCTGGGCGGCCATGAAGCAAAGGTCTAATGAGTCCCAGAGATAGAGCTATGGGAGAGGAAAGATTCTTGGTGACTAGCTGAGACCGGACTGGTCCTGGGCCAGTCAACACCCTGAGGCCAGGAATGAGCTGATCTAGTGAGCTAATCTCTCCACCAGCTCTGAAGCTGGACCAGTGCCCAGAAGACAGGGCCTCAGTGTGGCCCTCCGGCCCTACAGCGACACCATGTGGTAGAGAACGAAGGTGTAGCAGAGGTAGGCTTAAAGGGATCTCAACTTCCTTGCCCAAGCATGAACTAGACAGGGAATGGACTTCCTGGAGCTGCCTGATGAAACAGAAACATTCAGTAGTCTTCTATTTACCAAGGTGGGCAGGAGTTCAAGCAGTTAACTGGGGAGGAATGTGACTGAGCAGGCATTTGGTCACCTCTGTGGCTGCAGGCACTGGCTCTGCCTGGCCACTCTACAGAAGGATGGGAGAGGTGGCTCTGAGAAGGCTTTGAGGGAAGGGCTGGGAAGGAGGAGAGCTCCAAGTCCTTTTCAATAGGAGAACCTTGCTCCCTGGACAGGAGTGAGACCAGTGCACTACTCCAAGCTGACCACGGCTACATAAATGTCCTGCATCCTCAGCTCTACAGACCCCAGAAACAGACATGGAAAGGGACTGCCAGGAGGAAAGATTCTTACAAATTTTCGGTTGTGTACTCGATGGGGAAAAGGGTTGGGGTGGAAGCTTGAAGGTTAGAGGGGAAGATGTGGGAGGCAGAGGAGAAGGGAAGGAGGCAGTACAAAGGCAGATGTACGAAGGGGTTGGGGAGTGACTCAGTGGCTACACTGCTTGCTATGCAAACACAAGGACCTGATTTTGGATGCTCAGCACCCACATGAAAACTGGATATGGCAGCAAGTGACTGTAATGCCAGCACTGGGATGCCAAGACAAGGAGATCCAGGGGCTTTGCTGGCCAGACAGTCTAGCAGACTATTTTATAGTCTCTGCTCCCCTATTTTATAATCGAGAGACCTGAAGCTCAAGTGTGCTCTGAGTCCTGACTGGCCCCCAGCTGGACTCTATTTCTCTGCTTTCCTGCAGCTAGGTATCACCATGTGACTGAGTTCTGACTAAAAGAATACAGGTAGAATGGTGGTCCTTTCAGGACTCCCTTTCAAAACCTTTCCATGTGACCCTCTGGGGTCCTCACTTACAGGTGAAGCCACTGTGGTAGGGCACTAGGATCCAATGTTACTGCATGGAGAGCTAGGTTTGGACATGTTTTGAACTTTCCTTGGGCAAATTTTGTATAAAAGCTTTGAGATTTGGGGGTTAATGTCATGATTTCCAAGTGTGTGTGTGTGTGTGTGTGTGTGTGTGTGTGTGTGTGCCTGTGTGTGTGCACATACACTAGAAGATCAGAGTAAAAAGAGTCACATTCCCATCCTTACCCCCCAGGCTTCATAGCCTCTGTAGCCACAATACTTTGGATCTAGAATATTCTCCAAGTCCTCAGCCTGACACAATTGGAAGATAGAACCTTTAAGAGGTGGCCTAGTAGGAGGAAGTGAGGTCACTGAGGTGTGCTCTGGTGGAGGCATTGGGATCCTACTCACCTCTTCTTTCTTTGCTTCCTGGCCACCATACAGTGAGCAGCTTTGCTCTGATACATACTCTCTGCCATGAAGCGCTGCCCTAAGCATCAAGTTGATGAACTGTCCACTGAAACCTCCAAAACCCTGACCCAAAATAAACCTTCCCTGCTTTGAGTTGATTTCCTCATGTATTTTGTCACAATGACAGAAAACTAATTAACACAGCCTAGGTTTAAAGGCTGTTTGCTTTGTTTTTGCTAAGGATCTTATGGGTAAGGGGCCTTTCCTGTCATGCATGGATGAAGCACTGAGTAGCCAAGGTAGACCAGGGCAGATTTGAGATTACAAAGGGTCCCACTGATGGCAGGTGCCAAACTTGCCTTGCCTTCTCCCAGATTAACCAGACCACAGGGTCAGAGACCCATATTAACCATGGACAGGGCACTGGTTTTGAAGTCAGAAATCAGGTTTGAGCCTTAGTTTCTCCCCCTATTGTGAGCATCAGGGCAAACTGTGGAGCCTCTCAGCCTACTGCTGTTTACATTGTACTATGTCAGGAAAAAAGCATGTGACCTCCTGGACTTTTGTGACTAAATGACCCACATATATGAAAATGACTGGCATGTGGCTGACCTCTGACCAAAGTTAGTCAATTAAGAGTATCTTCAAAAACTGCTGATGAGCTCAGGTGAGGTGTCCTTCAAGAGACCAGAGTGCCCAGGGAGGCCACAAGTTACCAACGGGGCCTGGAATAATGGGAGGAGGAAGCAAGTGTTCTGAAGAGAGTCAGTTTGGGAGCCTGGCACTGCTGGGTATCTGGTGTCAGGCAGCTGACTGCCAAGGCAACAGGAACTGGAAGAAGGAAAGGGTGTCCCTAAATTGGGGTTATTGGGAAGATTCCAGCCTTTTATCAACATTTATTTGCATGTGCATGTGTGTCTGGAGATCAGAGAATAACTTGCTTTGAGAGTCTGCCTTCCTCTTCCACCCTGTGGATCCTAGGGGTCAAACTCCAGTCGTCAAGCTTGGAGGCAAATGCTTTTAACCCACTGAGCCAATTTGCCAGCCCTCAGCCTTCTTCATACTTCCTGAAGACATCACCCTCTGGTCTCTTCCTTGGAACCCTAAGAATTGAGCTCTCACACCCCCGACAAGCATGGATTTCAATCCCCAAAGATCTCTCCCTCTTATTCCACCACTGCTTGTCACTAGCGGTTCCCAGCTCCTCAATACCCACCCAGAGGGCCTCCCCCAACCTCCAGCTGGGCCCCTCTGACTGGGTGGTTACCATTTCTGTTTGTGAGCATCCGGAGGAACCTTGGACATTGCACTTCCACGGTCTGTCCAGGCGCAGAAGCAGGCCAGCAGCTCATGTTGTCCCACAGCCCCTCACAGCCTGCAAAGAACAGCCCCAGTACCGGATTGGAATGGATCATGGCCCAGGCTACCCTTTTGAGTTCCCATTGGGTACTAACTCCAACTCTACTCTTCTGGGTTCTGGGCAGGGATGGAACTTAGGCTGCTCTGCCACTGAGCCTCATTTCTAGCCCCTGGCTCCTCAGTTTCTAGCTATTTCAAAACAGCACCACCTGCTGGGACTAGGTGATTGACACATGAACCTGTGGGTAAGTTTTCTGTTTAAATTTTATCACCAGGGCTGAGGATGTAGCTCAGTTGGTAGAACGCTTGCCTAGCATACAAACATACTCTAAGTTTAATTCCTAGCCCTATATAAGCCTGGTGTGGTGGTACATGCCTATATTCCAGTAGGGAAAAAGCAGAAGAATGAGAAGTTCAAGGTCATCCTTGGCTACATAGTGAATTTGAGGCCAACCTGGGCTACAACAAAAGCAATAAAAACATCAGCAACATCCAAGGACTTCCCAGGGTCTCCCTCTTCTAGACTCCCACCACCCTTACCTTGGACCACAGCCTGTCCTTGTCCTCAACCCCACCTCCAAAGTCCCTCCTAGACCCCCTGGGTACTGGTGATACTGCCAGAGCAGAAGCACATACTATACCTGACTTACCTCCCCAGACTCCTCTGCTCTGATCCAGTTTATCTGGCCTGGCCCACCCCTTGCTTAAACACACACACACACACAGGCACACACTCATCCCTCCTTGTCTCCTCTCTCAGGTTCCTTAGTTGGTGCTTGGGGACAGTTCACGTGGGTGGAGACTGTGAGGTGGATTCACATAGTGGTTAAGCAGACATGCCCAGCCCCTGCATTTCCTGGTTGTGTGAACCCAGGAAGCAACTCCCCCCTCACTCTACTTCATGGCTTCATTTGTATAATAGGGGTTGAATTTCATAAACACCTTATCAGAGCTAGTAGAGAGTGGAGGCCCTGGATGCAGACACAGAACTGAGAGTCACAGGGGTGTCAAGGCAAAGGCCTATGTGCAACGGAGATTGCTGTGGGACCCAGGGGTGCAGGCACTGGTCTAATCATTTGTTCGCTGACCCCATGTGCTGAGTACCTTCAGTATGCCAGGTCCACAGGAAGCCCAGGGCTCCAGCCACGGACTGCCAGATAGGCAACTGTTCTTGGGGACCCTCTGCCTGGTGGGCAACACTGGCCTCCTTGAGAACTGGGTGCTGTCTGCTGGGAGCTGAGGTCTAGACATTGAGTTGTGGGGAAGGACAAGTGGCATGAACTTCCAAATCAAGTCCTGAAATCACACAGAGCAGCATTTCTGGAGCTTGTAAGATGCAGACTTCCCCGGGGCTGAATTAGAATTAGAACTTGTAGGGCAAGGCGTGGAGAGGCTGTCATTGAGAGGGTGAAGGTATCATGAAAGAAATTGATCCTGGCTGGAATGATACCAAAAGCTACTGACTTTTTTTTTGGATACAGGGTTTCATGTATGCCAGGTCCACCTTGAATTCATTGTGTAACCTAGGCTGGCTTTGAACTCCTGATCCTCCTGAGTGCTGGGATTACAGATTAAGCCACCAGGATGGATTTGTACAGGGCTGGGGATGGAACTCAGGGCTTCATGAATGAATGCTAGGATACCAACTGAGCCACATCCCCAGCCCTGGATGTCAAGATTTGAATAAGAAATATCCCTCCACATTCATGTATTCATCACTTGGTCCCCAGCTGGTGGCACTGTTTTGGGAGATTCTAGAAACTGAATTTTTTTTTTTTATTATATGTGTGTAAGTGTTGTACCTGCATGTACATAAGTGTACCTGTGTCATGCAGTGCCTGCAGAGGCCAGAAGAGAGTCGAATACCCTGGAACTAGAGTTATGAACAGTTGTTAGCTTCCACGCGGGTGCTAAGAAGAACTTGGGTCCTCTGCAAGAGCAGTCAGTGCTTTTAACCACTAAGCTATCTTTCCAGCCCCGGTTCTAGACTCTTTTATGAGGTGTAGCCTAGTTGAGGGAAGTAGGTTCCTGGGAGCCAATCGTTGAAGATTCTGCCTAGTCCCCATTCCCTTTCTCCTGCTCTGCTTCCTGTCTACCCTAAGGTGAACAGTCCTCCTCCATGTGTTCCCACCACCATGTTCACCTACCTCACTACAAGCCCTGAAGCCAAAACAAACATCTCCTCCCTCAGGTTGTATATGTCTGGTAGGTCACAGCAACAAGAAAACTAACTAATAAAGATGGGTCCCAAGGGCCAGAGAAGGCATCTATAAAGCCAAGGTCTAGGTGTTGGTCCTTTGAGGAATTAGATATGCCTGAATCTTCATCCAGAATCTCACAGTGAACCTGGCAGGAGGAAGTCCTGGGCATTCTGTTTCAGAGCTGGCCTAGCATGCCTAGCTGACCCCCTATCCCGAGACTGGTCTTCCACCTGCCAGTCATGGATGCTACTCTCCATATCTGAGAAGAGTCTCCTCAAGGGTCCCTGTTGTAATGGTTCATGTTCACTGTGAACTCCTAGAATCATCTAGGAGATAAACTTCAGAGCATGTCTGTGTGGAAGTTTAATACTGACTTAATTAACATGATTCAGCCTGAATGTGGGCAGCATCGTTCCGTGGGCTGGGGTCATGGACTACATACAAAAGAGAAGATGAGCTGAGCACTAGCACTCGTGTCTCTCTGCTTCCTGACTGTGAATGCAATGTGACCAGTTGCCCCACATTCCTGCCACCATGCCTTCCCCACCATGATAGACTGTACCCTCAAGTGTGAGCCACAGTGAACCCTTCCTTACATTGCTTTTGTCAGGTATTTTGTTACAGAAATGAGAAAAGTAACTAGCATACTTAGCGTGACTCCGTCCTGGGAGGATCCTTATAGAACACTGCCTGCCTCTCTCTACTCTGTGTCATCTGTGTCATCTGGAGTCCCTTCCTTTAGTAGATGTCTGCATCCTACAGCCTCTTCCCACACTTTGGTTTCTCCAGCCCTGGGGGCAGGAGGGCACTTCCAGAGCCTATTGGTCACCTGGAAATTGGACTCAGAGTTGTCTGGAGCTAGCCAAGTCACCAGGGTAATAGCCAAATCTATGCAAAGGATGACCTATAATCTGTCTGGCTAGACAGACTGAATTGTTAGAATGTCTGAGAGCCTTGCAGAGCTGGAGTCACATCCAGCAGGGCCCACAGAACAGCCAGTCCAAAGCTGACTGAAGGCAGGGCAAGAGTGCCTGGGGTAGGTAGGAACTCCTGCCAACTGGCTCAGTGCCACCCCCTTCATGTCAGCCAGGCCTGGGCAGGATGCGTAGCAGACACTCTGGAGCTCAATGTCCCAGCAGCCCTGGAGTCCTGGAGAGTCACTGCCCTGTGTTTAGAGGAGGAGCCAAGGGCTCCAGGAGGCAGAGTGTGGAAAAGAAGGGGACAGAGCTAGTACTGGTAGAACTAGGGTTCCATGCAGCCTTCCTGTCTCCCCAGGCCAGAGAAGGGTCCCCCTGCCAGACTGGCCCTCTGTGGCAGACCTGGCTGATAACCCCACAGGACACTGCTCATTTATTGAGCACCCACACACGATCTCACTTGCCCAGCTCAGATCCACCATCTAGGCAAAGAAGGCTCAAAACAGATCCAGGAGTTTCCAGTGTGTGAGGAAAACTCCTCTTGGGAGACTGTGTTTTGGACCTGTATTTGGTTAAATAACTTTTATTTTACTATTTACATGTTTTTAGAGAATTTCATTCATATTAGAAAAATGAAAAAAAAATTAAAAGAGGGCCTAAAATATAGCTCAGTATATACCAGACTTTCCTAGTGCATGAGACTCTGAGTTCCATCCCCAGTACCACATAAACCAACTGCAATGGCCTATGCCTGTAATCCCAGCATTTGGAAAGCAGAGGCAGGAAGATCAGGAGGTCAAGGTCATCCTTGACTATATAATGAGTTTTAGGCCAGTCTAGGCTACCTGAGACCCTATCTAGAAAAAAAGGAGAGGACAGGAGAGGAGGGAGGGAAGGGGGAGAATGGAAGAGAAGGAGAGAGGGAAGAAGGAAGGAAGGAAGGAAGGAAGGAAAAAGAAAAAAAAAGTGGTGCCCTGAATGGCTCAGAGGAGAAAAGCTATAGAGGTGAGGTCACAGGCAGCCTTGCAGAGCCCTTTTCCCCAGCCAGACACAGAGGGCCCTGACCAGGGATAGGATCTGCCAGTTACTATCGATATAGTACGAAACTTGGAGAAGTTTTCAGAAAATAACAAGTCTCAAGTTTTAGCACCCCTGGGAGAATGGGGTCAAAATAAAAGTCACAGGAAAGGGAGACTGTCCTATTGTCACACTGTGGAGATAGACTCCTTTATATCTAGGAAGTCCCCGACCCTGCTCCAGGCCCAAGGCAGACACTCAGCACCATCAGTTCCTGTATCTTACCCACAGGGATAGAGGCAGCCTCAGAGGCAGGTCTATGGTGAGGCAGGGCTGGGAAAGCAGGGAAAGAGTTAGCGTTAAGGACAGCACGGGGCCTTGGGAATGTTCTGATCCCCACCTAGTAGGGTATCTGGTGTACAGAGAGCTCTTGCCAGCTGTCACTTTGATCTACTTTCACCTACAACAGCCTGTAGTCCATCTTCCAGTCCCTGGATTATTTATAAATAAGATCAGATGACCTGATGATAACCTGGGACTATATCTGGAGCAATCTGACAGGGGACCTGGACAGCCACACACACACTAGGACCCTTTGCCTGCTGATGGACCTCACCAGAGAGCCCACAGTCCCCCTTTGCCTCCGTCCCATTGTCCTCTTATAGCTTCTGCTTGTCAGAGTTGGTGTTCCCCTGCTGGGGGACCATCCTATTTGTCTTCCACTCCCCTCCATCCAACCCTTCTCCCCAATACCTCACAGTAGGTCCAAACAGCTCTGCATAGAAGTCTGGATCCTGGTCTTTTCCTGCCTCCTTTTGCCTTCCTTGGCCCAGTCCTGGACCCAGCCTCAGGCCATCTCCAGGGGTCATCCTGGGAAAGGAGAACCTGGTTTTCCAATGACTTTCCTGTAGGCATAGTCCCATGTGGGAGACAGGCTTGAGCCTAGTGTGAAAGTCTTATTAACAGCCATACAGCAGGTCCGAGGCAACGGCCGGACCACTGGAGCCACAATGAACGCCTTGTAACATTTGCTCCCATTGGCAGATCATGAGACTGATGCCTAGAGCTCGCTACTCCCTAATCACCACCCTTGGAATTCCAAATTGCAACACTTAGATATTGCAATGGTCAGGGTCACATGGTTTCCAGGAATCCAGGCTCTGTAATCTGAAACCCATTATGCTAATGAGGCATCCTACCCTCTATTCTGTGATAGGACGTTAAGTCTGTTATGCTAATAGGATACTAAGTCTGTTATGCTAATAAGGTATCCTACTTGCTGTACTGTAATAGGACGCTAAACCTGTTATGCTAATGAGGTATCCTACTTGCTGTGCTGTGATTGGACCACTACCCCTATATAAACTTGTGCCTTCCTGCAATAAAGCAGACCTGTGTCACTGAACCTGGTCTCCTGTGTCTGAATGCGGCTCCACCCTGGGGTCCAGGACCAGGCAGAAGCGGCAATGACAGGAGGCAGCACAGGGCAAGCAGAAGAGCTGCCTCAGCACTGGGCAGGCAGAAGAGTGTCCTCAGCCCAGGGCAAGCGCAGGAGTAGCCTCGATGCCCGTGAGAACAAAGGAGTGGCACCCACGAGAACGGAGGAGCATCCACCACTGGTGGTGACCACAGTCCCAGAAACATGTTCTCCATTGTTTTTGTTTGCTTGGAGACAGGGTCTCATATATTCCAGGCTAGCTTCAAACTTAACTATGTAGCCAAGGATGAGCTTGAATTTCTGATCCTCCTGCCTTTATCTCCTGAGGGTTGGGGTTACAGGCATGCCACCACCGTACCCTATGTTGTGCTGGGAAGTAAACCCATGGCTTTGTGCATACTAGGCAAACACTCCACCAACTGACCCACATCCCCAGCCGATCTTCCATATTTGACTCTTTTTTGAGACAGGGGCTTATGTAGCTCAGGCTGGCCTTGAACTCACTATGAAGCTGAGGTTGACCTTGAATTTCTGATCCTCCTACTTCCAACTCCCAAGTGCTGGGATTACAGGCATGCTCTACCATGCCAAGATTATGTGGTGTTGGGATTAAGCCCAGGGCCTTGTGCATGCTAAGCAGACATTCTACCAACTGAGCTATGTCCCTAGCCCAATGTAAACATTTTGGACTAGATAGGAATGGTTGCATAGCATGGCTGATGGCATGGGATTGCAAACTTCAAAGGAGTTAAATTAATGTGAATTTCACCTCAATAAAACACACAAAAGTTAAAAAAAAAAAAAAAAAGCATTCTCTTCCTGCCAGTGCTCTGGGGAGAAGTCAACCAGCTGGGCAGATTAAAAAAAAAAAAAAAAGGTGGCTGGCATGTCCCCACTTGAAGATGAGGGCATTAAGGCCCAGACAGGTGCAGAGTCTGGCTGGAGGTCACACATGGGCCCTACACAACAAAGCAGGATGGACATCCCAAGTCTGTCTGGCTACTGAGCTTACAACTTTCTGGCCATCATACCATCATTCTGGAACATTTTTTTGCTAGGGTGATCCAGAGTTCTCTCCCCAGCCAACTCTGAAAGGACAGTAGGTTCTATAAACAGAGTAATAAATATCCCAGTGGAGCAGGCCATGCAATATGTAGGGTGACCCTGAAATGTTCCCACAGAGTGGCCTTGGCCACCTCACTCAGGATAGCTGAAGCATTAATTTTTTATTTGTGGTACATATGCCAGGCTTGGTGACACTCCATGAGTGGCATTTCCTGTGATTTGTTTAGCTTTCAAACATTAACCTCCACCCCAGGGAGAATCCAGGAGCTTAACCATTAAACCCGGACCTCCAGCAGAGAGTCCTGGCTCCTCCCCATCTCTTGTACCAGGACAGAACCTGGGGAGAGATGAAGGGTGAGCTCCCTGGGGACCCACTGAGGTGGCAGTATAGAAGGAAGGTGCATCTCAGCCTCTCAAGGGTCTTCATGAGGGTCAGAAGACATGGTGCCTATCTGGTTTTGAGAACAACAACCCCCCCAACCAGTCTGCCCCTTTGTTTCTCCTCTCTTCATCGTGCATGTGTGTGTGTGTGTGTGTGTGTGTGTGTGTGTGTGTGCGTGCAGGTGCAAGTGGAAGAAAGGACAACCTCAGGTGTTGTTCCCCAGGATACCACCCACCTTCTTTTTTGAGTCAGGGTCTCTTATTGGCTTGGAACTCAACGATCTGGCTAGTCAAGCTGGCCATCAAGCCTTAGGAATCTACCAGTCTCTGTGTCCCTAGTGCTAAGATTACAAGTACATGCCACCATGCCCAGGTTTTTAAAAATGTGAGTTATGGGGATTGAACTCAGGTCTTCATGCTTGCAAGCACTTTTCTGGCTGAGCATCTCCCTAGCTCCAGGTTCTTTTCTTAGCATGGTACTCTTAGATGATAGAAAGCAAAGAAGAGAAATTAAACATGGGTTAGTTACTTTTCTGGTGCTGTGATAAAACACCAGGACAAGAAGTAACTTATAGAAGAAAGGGTTTATTTTAGCTTACGGTTCCAGAGGGAGTGTCCACTATGGCAGGAAGGCGTGGCAGGAGAAGCAGGAGACTGGGACTTAGAGGGTTAAATAATTTGCTACAATCACACCCCCAGTGAATGTTTGTCACTTTTCCCTTCACAAGTGTTAGCATCAATTAGTGATGCTTGCCATGGGAGTGGATGGTGCTTTCAGGCAATGTCTGTTCTGTGCTTCTCCTTGGTCTGTACCATCAGTAACATGTGTATTCTGTTCCCCGCCCCCCAACTCCATCCACCCTGGCACTGGCAATAGAGTGGAGTGAGAGGTCAACCCTGTGAAGCTCTTCCCACCAAACCCTTACCTTGGTCTGGGAAGGTGGCTCAGTGGATAAAGCACTAGGTCCTAAATTCAGATTCCAAGAACCTTCATAAAGTTAGGCATGAAAGCTTACATGTGAAATCCCGGCACTTATACAGTAAGATGGGAGATGGAGACAGAAGAATCCCAGGATGTTCATGGGCCAGCAAGCCTGTCATATTCAGACCCTGTCTCAAACGAGGTGGAAGATGAGGACTGACACCCCTGGTTGTGCCCTGACCTCCACATGTATGCCATGTCACACATCATATACATGCACACACTCAAAGATTAAAAAAAAAAAGCACACCTCACCTTGACAAAATGCACATGCAGAAGCAGGTGGCAAGAAAGCACTGCTCTCTGCATACACCAGAGAGAGGTATGGAGACACTGGCTTCCTTGGGGCCAGGTAACTATGTACCTGGCCTGACAACTGATTGAGTGTCTCCCAAAGGCCACCTGGTCCTGAGGTCAAGCTATCTACCCCAGAGTGACTAGACAGGACCCATCTGCAGAGTGCACCTGGGCTGAGCCAGGCTTCATACCTGTTGTGGGCAGCTCCAGGCCCAGATCTCCTTTCTTTTCTCTGGAGACCTCTTGCAGGCACTGGGCCTGTTCTTCCTGCAACACCTGCAGCACATCACAGAGTCGGGGCAGGGCTCTGACCTGCAAGTCCAAAACCAAGGACACTGTCAGTCCTGCTGATGGATTCTGCCCCACAGCAGTTTTTCTGTGAGCAAGAAGGGATAGACATCCACGTGATGGGAAACATGGGAGAGCTAGCTCCCGGGTGGTCTCAACTTACACTATGGTGAGGACAGCCTCATTACCACCAGGAGGATCTGACTCTCCACTAAGCCTCCTCTTAACACACCACTCTGATGGGAAAAGGAGGGGACCCTCACTACTTCCATGGTGGGTTCAAAATCACCTCCATGGATGCCAACCCTTCACCTCATAGTCAGAAATGCACAAAGAGAAAGAGCATCTGGTTTCCATCACCCTCTTCAAGAGCACATTAAGGATCATCTGTGAGCCCAAAAGTAAGAATGCTGGATTTCATGTTAATATAAATTTAATTTGTTTTAGAACCCACCAAACTATTTTCTATAGCAACTGCACCACTTTACATTCTGGTAGCCATTCATAAGTCTCCAATTTTATTCTTGCTGACACTTGTTGCTTCTCTGTTGTTCTAGTTACTAGTGGTGTGTGTGCATGCATGTGTGTGTGTGTGTGTGTATGTATACACGTTAATGTTTGTGCCTGTGTGTGCAGGTGTACATGCCTGTAAGTATGGAGAACAGAAGATGATATCAGGTGTCTTTTTCAATCACTCTCCACTTTATTTTTATTTTTAAATTTTATTTTTTTAATACTTTATGCATATGAGTGTTTCGCCTGCTTAAAGTGCACTATGTACATGCAGGGCCAATAGGGGCCAGAAGAGGGCATTGGGTTCCCTGGAACTAGTTACTGATGACTGTGAACTTCCACTCAGGTGCTGGGAAATGAACCCAGGTCCTCTGCAAGAGCAGCAAGTGCTCTTAACTGCAAAACTATCTCTCCATCCCCAGCTACCTTATTTTTTGAGACAGCATCTCTCACTGAATCTGGACAGCTCAGGTATGCTGACTGATTAGCAATCCCCAGGGATATCCTGTCTCTACCTTCTCAGTCCTGGGATTATTGGCATTCACAGGCATTCCCAGATTTTTGCGTAGATACTAGAGATCTGAACTCAAGTCCTCAAGCTTGCATAAGAAACACTTTACTTTCTGAGTTATCACCACTGGTCCACATAACAGTTTTTTTTTTAAACCCATGATGTCTAAAATAGAATAAGTCCAAATAATTTTAAGATTTGTTTGTTTTTATTCTATGTGTATGTTTTGCCTGCATGTGTATAAATGTACCACATGCATGCAGTGCTCTTGGAGGTCAGAAGAGGAAGCTGGATCCCCTGGAACTGGAGTTTAAGTGGGTTGTGAGCCGTCATCTGGATGCTTGAACCAAATTCAGGTCCTCTGCAAGAGCAGCAAGTGCTCTTAACCATTGAGCCATCTCTCCAGCCCTCAGCCCAAACCATTGTTGATGGCAGGGATATACTACCTGGTGTCTGTCAATGTGCATGTAACAGGAACAATATTCTGCTGAGAGGACTGAGCCCTAGCTTCTGAGGGGGACTAGTGGGAAGGGCTGCCTCAGGGTGGGTGGGAGTGGCCAGACAGAGCATGAAGCTCAGCAGACCAGCCATCAGAAATATGTCTTGGTGAGATAATGGGGAGAGTGTGAATAGTGAGAATCATTCTCTTAGCATTTCTCATCATCTAAATTAACTTAGAGAAAGGTAGAGATCAGGCTGTCATCGATATACAGGAATGTTTATATATGTATTTGGTATACTTACTGAAATTGTTGAGTTGAGGAGATGCTCAGTCAGTAAATTGCTTGCCTTGTAAACATGAGGACCTCAGTTCAATCTCTAGAACCCATGTTAAAAAAGCTAGGCATGTTGATCTTAAGACATTGTATACATGTATGAAATTCTTAAAGAATAAATTAAAAATATCTTTTTTAAGCTAAACATAGAGACGAGCACTTGTAATCCCAGTGCTGGGGAAAAGGAGACAGGAGGATCCCTGGGGCTCACTGCTAGCTACTTGGTGAGTTCTAGGTCAGTGAGGGACCTGCCCCCCCCCAAGGGTCTCCCTAGCTGGCCTGGAACTCACTATACAGACCATGATGCCCTCAAACTCACAAAGATCTGCTTGCCTCTGCCTTCCAAGTGCTGGGATCAAAGATGTGCACCCCTATAGCCAGCACAAGGAAGGAGCCCTACCTCAAAAAGAAAAAAACAGCAACTAGGTGGACAGTGCCTAAGGAAGAGAGAAGAATTTGCTGTCTGCCCTACACACACACACACACACACACACACACACACACACACACGTACATGTGTACATATAAACACATTGTATTAATAAATTTAATCAAAATTCACAGGAGAGAAAGATAAACATGCAAGAATTGCTGAAATTTATAGAAAATGCTTCCTCAAAACAAAATTCCTTTAAACAGTTAAAAAAAATCACTGAGTTTCTATAAGTACATATTTTCCTCTATTTTATTTGTATTAGTACCAAAGAGCTTAAAATAAAAAATAGCAATTCTCTCTTCTCTAATCTTCACCTGCTTCCCAAGGAAACCATTTTCAGCTCCTTTTAGTTATTTTCTTTTTATCTTCATGTTTTAAATTATGCATAGCTTAAAACAGAAACGTTGTGTGTGTGTATGTGTGTGTGTGTATGTGTGTGTGTGTGTGTGTGTGTGTGTGTGTGTGTGTGCGCGCGCGCTCATGTGAATTAAGTTGCTCTCAGAGTCCAGAAGAGGGTGTCAGATCCTCTGGAGCTGGAGTTACTGGCAACTGTAAGCTACCCAACTTGGGAACTGGGAAGAGGTCTTGGGCCCTCTGGGAGAACAGTACAAGCTCTTAACCACTGTTGGGCCGTTGCTCCAGCCCTGGCTCCTCTTAAGGACAGCACTTCCTAGGCTGCAATTTCTTGGATTATTGGGTTACTCAAAACTTTCGGGTTACTCAAAACTTTCCGTTATGCACATTGAAGATCTGACGTTTCAAAATCTTCCTACAAACATCTCTTACCCCTAGATTCCATACACTTCTGTTCATATAAGTTTTAGTGAAAGCTGTGCTCAGCGTTCTTGAATACGTGTTCTTTTGACAGTGAAATACTGTTAGTGGTTGAAGTGAATCCCACAAAATGATTTTGTGTCCCTTGAATGGTTTGTTTTCCCTTAGGTCAATAATTGCTGTGCTTTTTCATTTGATTAGTTTCTGTACACCTGTGACTGATTCTCCTTCCCATCCTCTCAATCTGTTTTTTCTGGGATTCATGTTAGTTGAATAGTGGACATCTAGGTCAATCCTCTAATCTTCCATTGTTCTATACTTATTTTTTACTATTCCCTCTTTGTGTTTTTTTTTTAATGAGGGCTTTCCTTCATATTATTTATGCAAATTTGGTTTTGTTGTGCTTATGTGTTTGTGTGTGTGTATGTGTGTGTGTGTGTGTGTGTGTGAGAGAGAGAGAGAGAGAGAGAGAGAGAAGGGGGGTCTCATATGTTCTAGGGTAGCCTCAAACTTCATATGTAGCCAAGGATAACCTTGAACTTCTGACACCCCTGCTGTTTCACTAAATTTTCTTTTTCCTGCTGGGACACTGGCCTCCACTCAGGTTCTCCTGGTCCTGAAGACATTTTATTCAGATTTTGCATAGTTTATATGACATTTGGGAGGGGGTGTCTTACAAAAACATGGATTCTTATAGGCTTTTCCTTTTCCATATTTGAAATGCATGTGCCATTCCCTCCCCACCCTCACTGGTGCTCACCTGTGCTCAATATGGCAGTGGCTCCACCCCTTCTTCCCAGTGTGCTCCTCCCTTTTTACCAGTGTGCTCCTAGTGTCACCCCATCAAGAGGCTCTTGAGATTGGCATGGCATCAGCCCGCCCTGCCCCACATTTCCTGGCACTCTATTCCAAAAATGGCAACTACCCCATTCATCGCTGTGCTCAAAAGTCCACACCCAGACATAAGTACGGAGGCTTCCCAACAGCCACACAAAATGGGGAGCAAGCGGCCTTGTGGTTTTCCTGGCTTATATCTCCATAGCCCTGACCCTTAATGGGCTTGACTTCATGAGCAGAGCGTGGGAAGGAAGTGGGGCCATGACTTATCAGAGGAACTTCCGGGTCACACCTGCCTCCACCTTCCCAGTGCTAAGATTGTAGGCCTATGTCACCATGTCTATTTTATGAAGTTTTAGGAGTTGAACCCAGGGCTTCATGCATGCTAGATGAACTCTCTGCCAACTAAGCCATAGCCTATATTAATCCTATATTTTAATTCAGTTTTGGTTTTGCCAGGGTATAGCCTGTGGTGATTTTTTTTATTTTTGGACAGGGTCTTCCTGTAACCCCAACTGACCTGGAACTCACTATGTAGTCCAGCCTGGCCTCAATTTCACAGAAATCCCCCTACCTCTGCCTTCTGGAGTGGTGGGATTAAAGGCCACCACACCTGGCTTGCAATTTCCCTTTTTAAGAAACAGTGCTTGACTTGTGATCTCTGTGTGTCTTCATATACAATGTCTCTCTGTGGGGGATGTCAGCTTTGTCTTTCTCAACACCCAGTTGAGGCACAAACCACAGCTGTTCCTGGATGGTCTAGTGACTAACTTCCACCATCTTTTTCTTTGTGATGTTTTCCAGATGGTAGAAATGTTTTCAGATGTCTTTGCAGCCTAGGAACCAACAATTTCTCCCTGGGAGGAGCCCTTGATCTCTGTGCTGACTGGTTTGTTGCTGTGTGGCCCCCACCTCACTGACTGGGCCAGAGGGAAAAAGAAATAAAACAAGTTTGGGACAATCTGTCTTCTCTTGGATACTTCGTCCTGTAATGAGGAGTAAAGTCAAGCTCTTCTGTTTCCAAAGTAGGTAGACTTGGAAGCTCCTGGTAGCTATAGTCCTTGAGAAAGCAAGAGAATAATCCAGTCCAATCTGAGGAGGGAAGGAGGGGAAGAAGGAGAAAGGAAAGGAGGGAGGGAAGGACAGAGGTGGGAGAGAGAGAGAGAGCGAGAGAGAG